ACCGTCGTGGTCCTCCGAGCGCTCTCAGTGACTGCTGCTGCTACCTCCTGAGCTCGCCGCCTCTCTCGCATCTCCACCCTAGCTGGGCTATCAGTGGAGGTCTCGCCGTGCTCGGAGGCGCCTAAGCCACCGGCTCATCTTCAAAAGAAGTGTTAGACAGAACTATCTATCGCCTTCGAGGCTGATTCGAGGCCCCAATGTTCACCGGGCCCTCCTCACCTTGAGAGGGCCTAGCTATTTTTCTCCGGTTCACGGATGGCTCCTTGTCAGCTGATCGCTTCTAGCAAAGCTTTTCATGAACATACTACGTCCGTTTGTCATTACCTCCAACTTCTTGGCTCTCTTAGCCCTCCTCATTCGCATTAGTGCTCGGCTGATGTTGGGGACTGCTCGACCGGGCGTCCATAGCCCTCGGCCACTCCTCTAACGGGATTGCCAAAAAGTAAACCGCCCGATCCTATCCATGAATCTTCAACAACACAAATGAATACATTGCAAAGTGAGGACAATCAAGCAAAACACCATAGAAAAGCCTCTCACCACTGGGGGGAGATTTCCAACGATGAAGGCATGTTGCTAGTCTCTGATGGACAGCCGACCCATGAGATTGAACAACATCCCGATCCGCCGCATGACTTCATCTCAGGCAATTTCCTCGGGCACCTCGCGGGTCCCATTAGTATCTCCCCAGAACTCAAACGCCGGGTGCGCCCTCTCCTTGTAAGGTTGGATCCGGCGAAACATCAAGTTTATCGCCATAACGACTCCGTCAAACCTTCTGTGATCTATCAACCGTAGGAGCTCCCTTACTTGCTCCATTTCGTCCGGGCCAGGCCTCTTTGACCACTTTGTGTTCGCCACTGGCACCCGATCAATGTCACACTAGACATATGGCTCTACCTGCCTGATGTAGAACCATCTATAGGCCTAATACTTCACATTTGTGTTAAGCGGGACGGCGATGTACTGACTCTCCATCCCATCTCGCAATTGTAGATAAGCGCTGCCGACTACCTTGGATCTAGCTCCCCCGCATCTTGAGACAGAAGAAATGGTGGAATAGATCGAAGTGGGGCAAGATCCCCAGATATGCCTCACAAAGATTGATGAAAACAACAACATGAAGGATGGAATTCGGACTAAGGTTGCAGAGACTGATGCCATAGTGGTCAATCAGCCCGCGGAGAAAAAGGATGAATTAGGACGTCGAATCTGCGGATGAAGTAATCTTCAAAAACAAGTTCATCGGAATGGGGCGTGGGAAAATTCTCACCTACCACCGAGCGCCATCTCGTTGTCGCCCTATCTGGTAGAATCTCGAGCACCACCAAGTTGTTGAGTGCCCTCTCATCACTGACGGACTGCACCCACTCCTCGGCATGGTTGACCTCGCGCGGCGCCCGCCTCGAGCCGCTGTGATTCCTCTTTGGCGCATCAAGCAGATCTAGAGATAGTGGTTGCTTGCTGCTTGGATCTATTCCAGCGACGGAGCGGTTGTAGACGGGAAGGTGTATGTGTTCAAGAGCATGAAGAAGACGATGTGGCGTGCAGGCAATGGGGAGTGCACCTCGGAGCCATGGTGGATTTATAACAAAACAACCCCTGACCCTCTACCTTCTAGGGTTTTTGGGAAACCATGCCTATCATGCCGTGTTCCCTCCGAGTTCTCCGCGCGTCACTAGGCCATTAACTGAGCTTACCATATCCGTATGCGAAGCTACGTTTCGCGCGGGCCACAAAGACAAAATATGTGCCAAGCAATATTTTGAAGGAATATTTGGATTTTCATGGCAAGATATTTTTCTAACCCTGCTACGAGATATCTTCGCAATCTTTTAGCAGGCTCACGGACTACGTGTGTACACGTCATCTAGCGATGACTGTACTGTTTTTCTCAGCTAAGCTAGGAACAAGTTTAGCACCTGAAGACTACTACTTTGGACATTGGCACCATGAGACTACTTCACCTAGTGCCAGGCTCAAGGACTAAGTGGGCATACTTTACCTTGCGGTGAATGTGCTTATTTCTTTGACTTAGATTTCTTCAAAGCGGCTAAGTTCCTCCGCGATAACTAAGTCAAGGACGCCACACGACCAACTTCGATGCCCAAAACCTAAGTGGGCACACTTCGTCCAAGATGGAGATTTCAAAAAAAAATTAACTTGAGCTCCTTATAATTTTCTGACAAACCTCAGCTTCGCATAAGTCTGAACTCGGCTCCCGGTTGAACAGCTCGAACATTGATTCTAACAGCTCGGACGCTCGCTCCAATAGCCCAGATGCCTGACTAATTGCTCGGACATCTTCTTTAACAGCTCAGCTCCCAATCAGACAGGTTGAAAGCCTCTTCCTGACAATTAGCGGCATGTTGATCAGCTCGGATAAGCTCAGAACGGTGTTGCTCAGAGGATGCAAGGTACTCAGGGACTAGCTGTGGGGGTATGACCCCTGATACCCATAGGGGTGTACATGGTCCGAGCCGCTAGGGGAGGCCCAAATTTATAAGACTGCGCCTAGGTCGAGCTACTAGTGGAGGCCTAGCTTACAAAGACGACGACGCGTGAAGTATGGCACAGGTCGGCGTGCCTCGCAAGACTACGTGAAGATCCTCGGTGATCTATTAAACCTGCTCGGATATGCTAGATCCCGTAATATCTGTAACTTCTAAATCGATCAGGATAGAAACAACCGATCTATAACCCTATCCCCGGGCTATATAAGGTGGGTAAGGACCCCCTCGTTTTCATCTGATCAAACACAATACAACCTATCGAAAGACACATGACGTAGGGTATTATGCCAAGTCGGCGGCCTGAACCTGCCTAATCGTTGTCTCTTGCGTTATGTGTCACTGTCTGGTCCCCTCATGCGCACCTCCACCGATTCATCTACTACCATGGGCATACCCCTCGGTAGACTGCCGACTAGATTTTGTCGACAATATCCTTAGTACGTGAGATGTGAGCCCTTTAATCCTTATGAAGTGTATATTATCTATCGTTTAGGAGAAACACAAAATGCATCCAAAGGTCCAAAGCACTTAGCAGTGTGCTTTCTCGATGTGAACCACGATTGGGGGCAGATGGGTCCACTAAGGGGGTCGGCCAACCCCCCTACCCCCCATTAGCTCTAGGCCCTCCTCCTTCCTTTGGGAGTTGGGTCCACTTGTCATCTTGGGGTTTGAGTGGTGTGGAGAGCTTGTCATATCTTCCGTACAAACAAAGCACAACCCCCATCCAATGGCTAGGAATGACTCAGAATGTGTTTTCTTGTTTTAGTATTTTGTTTTCTAAAATTTCTTTTATTACAAATATTTTTCTTTTATCTAGTCTCTTTTAAGACTATAATGATATTCCTTATTAGAAATAGTTTGAATTTTCTAACCTCCGTTTTCTTCCACATTGCCCCTACAATCAAATAGGGTGCATGTCCATATGGAACCAAGTTATTTGTATCAAAATATGTTTATGCTTTGCTCATTCCCTTATGGTTGTGAGACATTATTGATGGTTTTGACCATACAAATTCATGTCAAAGTGAATGTCGACATGTGCTTTGGTGGCGATGCATTGGGCGGTGGAGGTTGAAAGCGGACCCAGGCCAGTGAATAATGAGCAAAACGAAGGGGTATGGCTCGGTATTGAAGATGAGGGAGGCGTAGTATAGTGAATACCGCTGGTATTAGGGCGCAATTCCAATTCCAAAGTCATCTTATCCATCCAAACAGCCGCATTCAGAGCTATACAATATCAATTTAAAATTCTAAGGCTGAATATCTACATCTAAACAAGGTATTATATTTGGATATAATCTTTGAAATGTCTGAATGCACTATATTACGTGAGGGAGGGAGTAATTCACTTGAGAGGTCTGAACCTCTCTAATCAATACCAGGTTGATCGCATGGAGTTTTAGACAGTCTACACTACAAAAATTATTGCCTCACAGTCACCTAGAAAGTTGATTATCTTTATCTAGTCAAGTAACCATAAAGAAGTCCTATTTGGTTTGGTGGAGAAGTTCTATTTGATTTTTTTTATTTAATTAGATTCTAGAAAATTCAAACTATTTCTAATAAGGAATATCATTATAGTCTTAAAAGAGACTAGATAAAAGAAAAATATTTGTAATAAAAGAAATTTTAGAAAACAAAATACTAAAACAAAGTTAGGTTGCTACAATGAGGCCTTGTTTGGTTGACGTCCTCATCGGTTAATCTAATATTCTCTTCGTCCCCAAATAAATCAATTCCAAAAATCCGCGTAAGTCAAATTATCTTAAATTTAACTAACTTTATAGGAAAAAGTTGCAACATCTATGAAATAAGATGAGCACATTATGAAAATATATTCTATAGTATATCTAATGATACTAATTTGATGTCATAAATCTTGACAGGTTTTTCTGAAAATTCGGCCAAAGTTTAAAAAGTTTGAGTTAAAACAACTCTAGAAATTTGGGTATCAACAATGAAAATCAAATACCTACTGCTATCTAGCTTATGCACATTTTTTTCAAAGCGAGAACCAAACCGTCTTGAAGATCTAAAGCTTAAATGTAGGGAAAATTGTCTGTTAGACATCCAAAGTGATGGTCATTTGCTGGCGGACATCCACTTTGGAGCATTTTGTCAGAAGACACTCTGGTTCGTTGAAATTAGGCCACAGGACACCGCGGGCCGATTTCAGTCGGTTGAGAAGAGAGAACAGCGGTGAAATGACATTCTTGCTCCTACTGCTTTCTTCTTCCTCTCTCCCTTTCTCTTTTTCCGTTTCCTGTTCCCGGGCCGACTTTGCCTTGCGCCTCCTAGGTCTGCCTCCGGCCCCGCTCCCCGCGCTTCGCCGCGTCACCTGCGGCCTCAGTCTGTCGCCGCCCGCGTCCACCCGGAGGTCGTGCGCAGGTCCGCAGCCGCCCCCGCCGGTCTGCAGGTCGCCCGCGTCGCAGCGGCAGGTCGCGTCCGTCCGCGTGCAGGTCGTGTGCCTGCTCGCACGCCCGCAGGTCATCCCGTACTCAAGCCAAGCCTCGCCATGGCCGCGAGCTTGGAGCTCGCCGGTGCCTGGCATGTGAGCAGCAGCAGTGCACACAGCAATGGAGACGCGGCGCTGAAGGTAGGCCCGGGCTCGTCCTGGATGCGGAAGTAGTCGACCTCGTCCAGCGCATCGTCGGCGCTGTACACCAGGTCCCGGAGCTCCTGCAGCAGCTCCACTAGGGCCGGGTTCTGGATGTCCTCTCGGCCGCAGGCGTTGTTGAGCATGCCCTGCGCGTACAACAACTCCATCCTGAGGGCGCGGATGTTGGTGCCGAGCTCAGAGCTGGCCGCCCATGCCTCCAGCACCTCACCGGCGGCAGGGCCCAGCGCCTTGCCGACCACCCAGCGCGCCGCCTCGATGCCAACCTCCATCCACTCGTCCACAGCCGAACACAATGGATCTTTGAGGTTGCTGGATGATGCACGAACACGAAACATTAATTAGCAGACGTCATCCCTAGTAACTCTGACACTGCTGCGGCCATGGTGGTCCCGACACAGTGAGGGAAGAGGGGGCGGCGCTAGCACGACAAGTGGGGAGGGGAGCTCAACCAATGGAAGAGGAGAAGAGGAAGAAGAAGAAGATGACAAGTGGAGCTCGCGCGTCAGTGAGAGGGAGAGGGGTGGATCCAACTGTGGCTCAGGGGCACTGGATGTCAAAATGAAATTTTCTCTCTCCTCAACCGGCTGCAACTGGTCCGCGGTGTCCTGTGGCATAATTTCACCGAACCATAGTGTCTTCTGACAAACTGCTCAAAACGGGGTGTCCGCCAGCAAACGACCATCACTTTGATGTCCGCCAGACAATTATCCCTTAAATGTATTACATATTATTATTATTATTATTATTATTATTATTATTATTATTATTATTATTATTATTATTATTATTATTATTTCTTCTTATTTTTTAAAAGGTTATTATTATTACTGCTGCTACTACCGCTTAGTAATCCCTCGCTCTAAAATCCTGTTAGATTCTGCTCCAGGCTCAGCCGCTCAGGCCGGCCCTGTACTTACCCACCCGATCTGCCTGTAGCTGTGTTTGCTGCAACCCTACCCTGTCTTTTGTTCTTCCTTCCATCGCCCCCAGTGTGTGCGCAGCCCCCAACCCACACGACTGGGCCGCCCGTCGCTAACGCCCTACTTCGGCCCCTTCGCCGGCGACGAGCACCACCAGGTACGCCCTCCCCTTGGTCTTCCCGTCCTGCTTTGCGAAGCCGTGCGCCCAAACCCTAACTATTCGTAGGTACGCCCTCCCCTTGGTCTCCCCTTCCTGCTGTGCGAAACCGTGCGCCCAAACCCTAACATACTATTCGTATTCGGATCTGAACTATGCATGTATTATGCCTGCTAACTTCGATTGCTTTTGCAAAAAATTAGCGGGTGTTCATGTGTACACCCAGGTCCGCCCCTGGCTGCGATGCCCTTCTGTGTCTCCGACAGCGCCTCGCGCGATTTGTTTGACGGTGAGGGATATAAGGGTGGTAGCTTTGGATATATCTGGATAGGTTCTTCGATTTTTGCTCCGTTTGTGGTTTCCTCGTGGAATCTGCGATTTAATGAGGTGCCTTTTGGTGCCCTATGCTGTAAAGTGCCTTGATTTGATATGTTAGTCAGTTATTAGTGTTTGCTACTGCCTACTTCAGTGTAATGTAGTGTTCCATTTGTGACCAGTCTTGGCAATGTCATCAGCTATGATAATTTATGGGTGACAGTTGGCGTTCTTTATCAATTTGTTGCGCATTATGACCATTGTATTGTTCAGTAAATGTCAGAAGCCAAGACAAATTTTTTGTATTATACAGAATGAATAGTTATGGTTCATCAAAGCACATCATGTAATCATTGCTTTCACTACTAGTGCTTTGCCCCTGCGTTCTACTCAAACTGTATAATAGAACTAATAGAATGTAAGCAACCAACTTAATACTGGGGGTTCTATAGTACACTTAGTGTTCAGTAGTCCAGGACTGTAGCTTTTGCAGTAATTGAATTTCTTGTTTAATTTAGTTTGATTTAATTTTTCTTTAGTGACCTAGCATTATTTGTTTCAGATACAAATATTAAGGTTATTATTAATTGATCTAGGTATGGAGCCATTTACAGGACTCCATAGGCTTCAATTGATGATTTAGTCTGTTTATCTTTTTTTGTCAAATGGAACGAATTTTCTACTTGGCCAAGAAACAATGTGATGAGAATAAATTTTTGAGGTCTGATAATGTAGTGCCTGATTTGGTTTCTTCCGTTGGCAGTCACCATGTCATCGTATCCTGTGCTAAACAACCGACCAATCGATCAGTGGAGAGTTACTGATCTGAAGGATGAGCTCCGTAAAAGGAAGCTTCCTGTTAAAGGTTTGAAAGAGGAACTCGTTAGGCGACTCTTTGACTCCATTCAGAGTGAAAGAGAAGCTGAAGAAACTGATGAGGATGTGGGAGTGAATGTGGATGATCAGTTACCTGATGCCAATGCTAGTGAGGAAAATACAGTTACCTTTACAGAAGTTCATCAGGAAACTGCGGTTCATGTCACTAAGCAAGTTGAAGTTCCTACAACCAAAGTTGGTCAGGAATCCGCTATTTCTCCCACTAGAGGGCCCCTCACTGTTGATGTTGAAGAGGCCTCAACAGCCAAAGGAGAAGTACCTGAATCATTTGCTGGAGTAAATTTGACATTTGAAGAAGTGCAAGTGCATACTGAAAGTACTAATGAGCCTGTTCATGAGAAGACCACAGACGTTGACACCAATGAGGCAGTCATTTTCAATGATGCAATCAATGTGAATTCAGACTTGACCCCTGCTGAAGTCAAGTTTGGTGCTACGGAAGCAAGCAAAATTGAAGAACAGGATTTTCCCCCAGCACCTGTAGATGCCTTAACTTCAGATGCTGCTGGTCCTATGGATACTGATGTTGTCACAGCTGCAACTTCAGATACTGGTCCTATGGATACTGATGTTGTCACAGCTGCACCAGTGAGCGACGATGGGGAGAAACTGGCACCTAAGGATGATTTGGGTAACAAGGTGTCAATGTATGATGAAGAGCACAATAATTCTGATACCATGAACGAGGACCGCAAGCCCATCGAATCAAAACCAAATAATCAGATACCTGAGGTTAGTCCAGATTTAGGGTCTCAAATTAAGTGTGAGTCGATTTCTAGTGATAATCTATCAACTAACAAAAAGAATAATATAGAAGATAATTTAAATGCTAATAATTTTGATTTAGAACTAGAGGTTCAGCCGAAGATGGTCGAACCATCATCCGGCATTACTTCATTAGGTGGAGATTTGCAGCCACTGGATGATGACAAAGAGCTGGTTAAGAACCAGACATCTTTGGAGGACTTAGATTCCACAGCTAATGTGGACTCATACAAGAAAGATAGTCCTGAAGGTGGTTCTCCAGAGAAATTAAATCTAGACAGGAGTTCAGGTGATGAGTCAATGGAGGAGGATGTTGCGGAAATTAAACAAGTTGAGTCCAATATGAAATCTTATGATCTCGGAGGAAAGAATGAACTTAGCTCAGAAGATGTGAAAGAGGTGATCCTCCCTGATTCTGTTGTTGAGCCTTCCAAGGAGGTTATAGCTGAAGAAAAGTCAGCAGCTTCAGCAGAAAAGAGGAAACTTGAAGGTTTGTTTCTCTCCCTACAAGTTCTTTCTGCTTGATTTTCCCCTGAAATGCCTTAATTATATCCTACAGTTTCTTACTGTGCCCTCAGTGCCTTCAACACATAATTCAGTGTGCATGCTTTATAGTTTTATCTGGCATAAAGTACCCATCTTGAGTCATAATCCTTACAATTTTAGTGAGCATGCAAATGTTGCACACATGTTTATCTTGGCAGCTTTGCTTTGATATGCGATGACTTTGCAGCCATTAGGAACCATTACGCTTCCATTGGAATTTCAAAGTTCATGGGGATGTCAACAGATCATCCAAAAGGAAAATGCCTAGAGTAATCACATTGCTTCTCTAGTAGAAATTTGGTGCCTTAAAATGTTTTGTTTCCTTTCAGTACTGTTTATATTCATGAAAACAATTAAAGCCTTCAATGTGGGATAATTTGGTCAACAGTTATATAACGTACACCTTGCATTGAGCTTAGAATTATTTTAATGTTTGCTTTTCTTCTCATTGTTGGTTCCATCTGTTATAAATTTGCTTTATGCATGAATGTAACAAGCATATGATCAGCTGGACATTAAGTTTTTTAAATTTGGACATGATCGTTGAATGTGCAAGTTAAATGCTAACTCCTGGTCGAATGCACAGCTGAAGAAGGTGTTGCAAACACTGAACCAATCAAGCGACAACGTCGGTGGACTGCAGACGTCGCCAAAGTTCCAGAGAGACAAACATTGAGTCAAACTGGTCCTGAAACTCCTAAGGATATTTTTCAGCCTGCTTTCAAACGATCTTTTGGGAGGTCTGATTCAACAGCCAGTGTAGATTCTCCTAAGGAGCGGATTGGTGAGTCATTGGCTCCTTGCAGGACCTTCGTTTCTGTATCTATAGACTTCATGAGTGACTATCTGTTAACCTTTTTTTTATTTGTGTTGTAGTACCACCTTCTGAGAAACCTGCCACAACTTCTTTGAGAATTGACCGATTTGTACGTCCATTTACCCTGAAAGCTGTGCAGGAGCTTCTTGGTAAAACTGGAACTGTACAAGACTTCTGGATGGACCATATCAAGACTCATTGCTATGTTACAGTATGTTTCTTTGCTAAACCAAGACTTGCGCTATCTGAACTTTGTTGTTTATCACATCATCTTGAAATGAAAAATCAAAGCTGCCATTCAACCTCATTCATGAAGAAAATTCAAGCTGCATGGGATGAATAACATTTTGTACTCCACTTTTAAGCTGCTGGAGTTTGATAAGTAATAACCATGCTAAACATGTTTGCCAAAGCATTCAATTATTGTGATAAACAAACTGGTATTATTTTATTGTGGCCTTATGAATTGAATTTGTGTAGTGCCAACACTGGACTTTTAATTTAAAGTGTTTCACTGCCTGTTTATGTTCTGACTATGTTCTATGCATATTCTGACTGCACTGTTAAGCTGACTTTGCCTCATTGCACTCCAACTTTATAGTTTTCTTCGGTGGATGAAGCTGTGGCTACTAGGGATACTGTTTATAACCTACAGTGGCCCCCAAACAATGGCAATAAGTTGGTTGCTGAATTTGTTGATCCTCAGGAAGTGAAGCTCAAGGTTGAGCCCCCTCCCCCGCCAGCTGCTCCTATTAGCCCAGCTGCTGCCACAAGGGCACCTCCTGTTCAACAGACGCAGGATAATCAAAGTGTGCCACGCCAGGCTGCTACACCAAAAGAGCAACTGCCACCTCCCCTTTCTAAGCCCCCTATCGCTGACCCTGCAGCATTAGCGAGAGAGAGGCTTCCGCCCACTCCAAAGAAGCCAGAACCTCCTGTTGTGACACTTGATGATCTCTTCAAGAAGACACAGTCCTCTCCGAGGATCTATTATCTGCCTTTATCAGAAGAGGAGGTGGCTGCCAAGCTCGCTGCACAGGGCAAAGGAAAAAAGGAATAGGTGTTAGCTTGGAGTTTGTTGCGGTATGCTTAAGTTCTGTTGCAATGTGCTGTACAATTCTTTTTTTATCCGAATAATGATGAGGATATCTCATTCAATTGCCCTCCCTCAGGAACATGGCGTGCGGTGGTCACAGCAGCTGACAGGTGCTGCTGCTGCAGACCATTTGAAATAACCGGTGGCGGTGACTGCTGCGGCAAAAGAGTAGTTTTAGGGCTGTTCTGTGGAAAAGGACTAGTGTAGGAGCAGCAGCAGCTTGTGGGCCTGTTCGCTTGAACTACTTTTGTGGCAAAAGAGTAGTTGATTGGGTCTCCGACTAGAGTGTGTGCTAGTTATTTGAGCTACATTAAGTGTCTGAGGTACTTGGTTTAATTTATGCTGTCAGGTACTGTTAAAAGATACTGGTTTTAGTTTTGAGTCTATGGAGGATACTGTTACTGTTGAGATGCCTTGTCTTATTTTAGTCTTTGCTGTCAGTCTGTTCGCTCGGTCGTGTTTGGTTTATAAGTCATGGCTTATCAGCCAACGAACAGTATTTTTCTCACACTAAATCAGCCAACAATACTTTCAGCTAAACGAACAGTATTTTTCTCACATCAAATCAGTCAACAATATTTTTGGTCATGGCTTATAAGCCAAAAAAGTCTGGACAAACAGGGCAATGAGCAAGTTGGTGCTGCCGGTTTGCACTTTTACACTGGTTGATACTACCTCTCTCTGAAAAGAATGTGATTCTAGTGTATTTTTTATTAAAGTGTCTAAAATTTGACCAAATATGATAAAATACAATATTTTTTATGCTAAATAAGTATATTATAAAAGTATATCTCATGAAAAATCTAATGCTACTTATTTGATCATAACTATTTATATTTTTATATGTAATTGATCAACTATTTAAAAGAACGCTACGCAGGTGCGGCAGCACGTTGGTTAGGGCTTGAATTATTTCATTGTCCTATTTTGCAACGTAGACCTGAACACATATGGCCCGGCCCGTGAATCTTATTGGACATCCCTGGATAGAGGCGTCACTTCCAGAAAAAATCGGCTCGGTACGAGCCTAGCCTGAAACACTATTTTATTTACTTTTCTACCGAAAATAGCGTCCAGGCCCAAAGCGGCTTGTGGAATGGTATTTGGCACAGATTTTAGGTCCAAACTCAACTAAGCATTTTGCCGGTCCGCCCTGCAAAATGCTTAGACCCGGTGGCAATTGGCGTCACAAGATCTGAATGTAGGACGCATATCAAAAGATGGATTCTGAAACTAAAAGCTCGCATGCCTCACCTTAAAATTTTAGTGGAAGGAACTAAAATTTGTTAGAAATGATTCAAAGTGATATGAAACTATTTTACACCAATTTGCGCTGCAACATCGTGTGGCCCATCCGCCTTCATATGAAAAGTGAGACCTTTTTAACTAAAAGTTTGTGTTCACACCTCAAAATTTTAAAGAATTTGACTAAAATTTATTGAAAACAATTTAATATAATAGAAAGCTACATCGTGCCAATTAGCACCTCAAAACGAACACATGAGTCTCACATCGAGTTAGGGTGTGTTTGGATCATCGAATCATATGCGTTTTTGGATGGAATCTGGAGAAACAGTGCCAAACGCTACAACTCAGAAACGTTTTTGGCTAGAATTGTTCCGATGGTTTCGTACTTTTTTGCCTGCAGGAGAGAAACCGCTCCACCCTGGTTTCTACCGTTTCGTTTCGGCTCTAGCATACACACTAGCGGCTGCTTTTTTCTGGTTATCTTTTTTGAGTGCAAAATGTTAAAATAAATTGTATCAAAAGATATTCTTCGTCTACAAAAAAATCTGATTTTTTTGAAACATATTCCTATTTATATAATTTTTTTCACGAAAAAAATATTTTCTTTTGGAATCAGAATCTAGCCTACCAACCAAACGGTTTGTTAAAGTAATTCTTGTTCATCATCTAAAACGTTTCTTGAGAGAATCTGGGTCCAAATCGTTTCTGTAAGAATCTGTATCCCTACCAAACGCACCCTTAATACAATATCTACAGCATCTAGTCAAGCCATTTCAAAACAATAGACACACACACACACACAAAAAAAGCACAATGCATATCAAACCTAATTTTCTATTAAATCCGACCCAACCCACTAAAAATATGAAGTCATCCTCGCCCATCTAAAATGTACCCATCTAAGAACCCAACCTATAAACACAAGCCAACAATGCTTGTCTGTCCTGCTTGCCATTTTTACATCTTTATTAGTTACAACGCGCCATCGGCAATTAAGTGACTGTGATGACTTTGTAAATCTCCTAGGTTAGTCGTTTAGAGGTGTGCACGTGTCTGTACTATGTAATTGAAAAAAAAAAACAATAAAAAAAAGGCAAAAACTATGTTCGCTGGACAGAAGGGAACTGGAAGATGATCTGGGTACTCGGCCGAGCATCAAGGGATCCCGATGTGAAAAAACCAAACTGAGAAGGTTGCTGTTTCCTTTCTCACAGCGACTGAAGCGATAACAGATAACTCAATCAATAAGGAGAAAATGAAAAAAAAAATCGGGACATAGATCGGGGGTATTGAACCCGACGCTGTTTTCTTTCTCATGGCAACTGAAGCTGATAACAGATAACTCAATAAGGAAGAAATTATTAAAAAAAAGGAATAAAAATACTCAATCAATAAGGAGAAAATGAAAAAAAAAAATCCGGACATAGATCGGGGGTATTGAACCCGACGCTGTTTTCTTTCTCATGGCGACTGAAGCTGATAACAGATAACTCAATAAGGAAGAAATTATAAAAAAAAAGGGGAATATGTTTTCTTTCTCATGGCGACTGAAGCTGATAACAGATAACTCAATAAGGAAGAAATTATAAAAAAAAAAGGGAATAAAAATACGTCAGACGCGCTACCATTGCGCCACGGATCCGGTTTTGCTCTCTTCAGAAACATAGTTTATATTACTTGTTTTAACTGTTTAATGATCTCTGTTTTGTCTTAGCATCTGATGTCCACACAAATAGTTTTTTTTTAAAAAAAATCTAATAAAGACACAAGTAGGTTTGTGAGCTTGTGAACAGCTGTCACCAGCTCTGGGTTTGCCCTCTGAAACCGGCGTTGATATTTGGGAGTATAATAGTATAGCGGCATTCAGTTTAATTTTTACCGCTTTCAAACCTGCTGCCTCCCTCCCCAGCCTCCACACTCCAGCGACAGCGATACCGCGCGGGCGGCGGCGTGGCTGCTCACACTAGGCTTTGCTCGGTTGGGCCAGGGTTGGCTAGGATTGCGGCCTAGATAGGAGGAACCCGAGTAAAGTCTGGACAAGATTGTAACTGTAACCTGGCCCATCCCGTGGAATTCTCCTCACCCGGCCCAGGAACTCACCCTGTGTTGTGTGCGTCTATGTGACCTCGCTCGTGGAAGCAGCAAACCCGAGAGGTCCACAGGAAGCGACGCCGCTGCGACAGGAAGCACCAGGTGGACTGGTGGCGCAGGCGACGGAGAGAGAGCCGCCGGAGCGGAAAGACAAGGGTCAGCAACGACGGCGACGTGCCAGCCGTCCCCTCGGGTGCCGACGATACTGCTAGGGAATTAGTTAAGAGTCATGCGCAATAGAAATTGCATGATAACTTATTGAGATTTTTTACTCCCTGTTTGCCTAAATAAATGGATTCATGTTTCATGTGCACCTCAATGTGCGATTGTGTGCCCCAAAGTGAAGAAAAGATTGTTCACGATACGGTCTCACAGGACAAGATGCGACATATGAGCATGACATCGAGTTTAGGACAACATACGAAAAGAATGATCTCAAAATTTTATTTCCTCAAAATAGTTGTTGGGCCGGTGTTCTTTCTTTGTTCAGAGGAAGTTTCCATCAATCCAGTTTAACCTCAAGAAAAACAATTGTGGGCGTGAATAGAAGCTGCAAGATCATCCACGATTGGATCAATCTTCAATACCGTCACACGCACAAGAGTCGGTCCCAGATCAGGAATCCCCCATCCTCCTGCGCCATGTGTTTCTTCTCAACAAAATTCAACGCATGTTCGCTTGATCGTATCAGCCATGCTTATCAGCTATGACACAGTGTTTTTCTTTCACAACAAAACAGCATCAGCCAGCTTATAAACCACATAAACGATCAAGCGAACCGTGCAAGTCACCATCACAGTTTGCTCTGTTGTCGGACATGAACCGCAGTAGCCTCCTTGTCCTTGACAAGCGGCATTTTTATTGAGCTCCGCTGTTTGTCAATCACCAGTTCACTTCACCGGGCAATGTCCGCATCAAAATAAACTAACCAACACCGACTATGCGATCAACCATACGCATCAAGTGAAGCGACGCGCACTTGTACTCTCAGCTCAGCTTGTCGTCACGTTTTTTTTTCCCAATCTCTTGGCTTCTCGGCGATACGTATGTACCAGTACATATAGTGTACCCCACAGTTCATTGGATGCCCAAATCCTGGTACATCGCGCGCGTGTAGCTGACAGATCATGCAGCTCATCGCTTTGCTCCTGCTGTTGCCACTCCTCGTGGTGGCCGCCTACCTGACCGCGGCGGCAGCCTCCGGTCGCCGGAGCTCGCGGTGCTACCTCCTGGACTACGTCTGCTACAAGCCGCCGGACGACCGCAAGGTCTCCACGGAGATGCTGAGCGCCGCGATGGACCGCAGAGAGCGGCTCAGCGTGCCCCTCCGCCGCTTCCTCCTCCGCGTCGTCCTCCGCTCGGGCCTCGGCGAGCACACCTACGCCCCGCGCACCGTCATCGCCGGCCTCGAGCACAGCCCCACCCACCAGGACTGCCTCCACGAGATGGACGCCTTCTTCCACGGCGCCGTGGCGGAGCTGTTCGCCAGGCAGTCGGGCCTCGGCCCTCGCGACGTCGACGTCCTGGTCGTCAACGTCAGCACGTTCCACCCGGCGCCGTCGCTCGCGTCCCGGATCGTGCGCTCGCACGGCATGCGCCACGACGTTGCGGCCTACAACCTCTCCGGGATGGGCTGCGCCGCCGTGCTCGTCGCCGTGGACCTCGCCCGGAGCACCATGCACGCGCGGTCCCGGTCCCAGTCCCCGCGGCGCCCGACGCTTGCGCTCGTCGTCTCCGCGGAGTGCATCACGCCCAACTGGTACGCGGGCGTCGACAGGTCCATGATGCTGGGCCATTGCCTCTTCCGCTGTGGCGGCTCGGCCGTGCTGCTCACCACCGACCCGGCGCTCCGCGGGCGCGCCAAGATGGAGCTCCGCATCCTGGAGCGCGCCACCGTCGCCGCCGCCGACGACGCGCACTCGGCCATCGTGCAGCGCGAGGACGGGGACGGCCTCGTCGGCATCAGCCTCAGCAAGTCGCTCCCGAAGGTCGCCGTCCGAGCCTTCGCCGCCAACATGACGTGCCTCGCGCCGCGCATCCTCCCCGTCACGGAGCTCACCCGGTTCGCGGCCGTCGTGGCATGCCAAAAGCTGCTGCGCTGCGGTAGCAGCTCTAAGGTCAACTTCAAGGCCGGGGCCGACCACTTCTGCCTCCACCCCGGCGGCGTCGCGGTGATCGACGCGGTGAAGCGGGACATGGGGCTGGAAGAGCGCGACGTGGAGCCGTCGAGGATGACGCTGCACAGGTGGGGGAACACGTCGACGAGCAGCGTCTGGTACGTGCTGTCCTACATGGAGGCCAAGGGGAGGCTCAAGGTCGGGGGTGCTCATGGTCACCTTCGGGTCGGGGTTCAAGTGCAACAGCTGCGTCTGGGAGGTCACCGGCGACATGGCCGACAAGGGTGCCTGGGCCGACTGCATCGACAGCTACCCGCCGGAGAGCCTGGCCAACCCGTTCCTGGGCAAGTACGCCTGGATGAACGGAGGAGACCAGGCCGACGATGCCCCGTCGGTCGGTTCACATGCCAGCTGAGCGCTTCGCGGGCAGAGCATATCAAGTTATCAACCATCTACGTGGCTAGAAATTTGGAATTCAAGCGCCTCGTTTCCGACAGACCGACACTCAATTCGTGTGGTTTTCAAAACAAACCATGCACAACCCGGCTATCAATGGTGCACTATCTGATTGATCTTGCCACGAAGGTTAAATAATGTCTGCAAACAAGAATAATAACAAACACGATTCCGCAAAAAAAAAACAATAAAGAACACATTATTTGATACATAGCAAAAATATTCGACAACAGTTTAATCTACGATAACGATTCTACGAGGACGTCCGTCCCCAAATTAACGTCCAGACGCGGCCCATGACCCCAACTCCCATCCCGCGACCGCCCCGCTCCCCCATGCCACCCACTCACATCCCGCGACTGCGCTGGCTCCGCCCACCCGCTCGCTACCGCCGCGCCAAGGCCATCGTTCTCTGAGCACTGCTAGCGCCCGGGGACGGACGTTGCGCCCGTGCCTCTAGCGCTGCCACCCCGCCCAAGACTCCTCCCTCCCTCCCCATCCGTGACCTCCATTGCGACCCGCGCTTCCAAGCGACCCGGCTCCCGCTTCCCCCATCGGAGACGAGGACGACGGCGGCGGCACCGACGAGGTTGGTCGTTCCTCCTCTGTATCTAAGCCCTCCCTCCGGCGAGCTCAAAGGTGATGGGCCAGGGCTGGAGCAGCTTGCACCCCGAGCCCACCCCCTTGCTGTTTGCACGCCTTTTTTTTGTTGTTTCTCCGTGTTGCAAGGATGATTTTTTGATGTTGCACCAGATGATTTTCATATATTGCAATAGGTGATTTCATGTGTTGCAGAAAGGAAATTATAATGTTAGGATTGTTGCAATACCTTTTCCAAATGTTGCAGCACTAAAAGGTGATTTTGAGATGTTTTCATTTACATGCTTCATGGTTGATTTTGCGACACTACAGTGCTACTGTTTCAGATGTTGAAGTACAAATTTTTCAACGTTGCACTTGTATTACATAATTTTCTATGTTGCAGTATATTTTTTTTATGTTGCACTATATAGTTTTACGATGTTGCAGTATTTATATCCTAATGTTGCACTACAAAGTTACTGTTGCACTACATAGTTACATATTTTTTGCGATGTTGCACTTGAAAGTGTGTCGTACTCTTGGGACAAGGGGCACGGTGGGGTAACGGGGTGCGGTGGGGAACGGGGACAGGGGCGCCGTGGGGAGCGGGACACGGTGGGGGATAGGGGGCGCGGCGCGGATGGCGGTGCGGCAGGGGAAAGGACCGTCGCGACAGGCGTGGGCGAACGCTCCTCTAGATTGGTTCGCTCGTATTGAATCGTTACGTTGCTTGGTCGGGTTAGGAGGTTAATCAAACGGCCCCAAGGGGCGTCCGGACGCGCGCTCGTGCCGGGCGTCCGAGCGTTAGGAGCATCGTTTAATCTAAGGTAAATCTAAACCCTAACATAGATGATAGCTTATAGCTACTAAATATAAAGGGTTAGAGGTGATCTTCTGGACAAATTTGTATGACTCTGACACGATACACGGCCTAATGACCTACTCCCTCTGTTCCATTATACGTGTCGTTTTAGTTTTCTACCAGGTATAATAAAAATTCTCTAAACCTGGACATAGGATGTATCCGGATGCATGGAACATGCTATGAATCTAGACACCCAAATGCACTACTAGAATAACAGATATAATGGGACATTGGAGTAAAGGACGGTAACACAACACTTGAGTGGACATTCAATTTTAACAGAAATATTAGGTGGGGCTTTTTTGGATGTTTTCAGTTGAGAAATTTTTAGATTTTTGGATAGAACGGTTACTTTATTGATTTTCTCAGATCTAAGGAGAAACGAGGTGGCCAAATATCGTTTTTTGGGTACTATTATAAACCCACTTAGTCTGTAGTAGCTCTTTCATGTAGTTAACTTTTGTTGTTATATCTGAGCTCAACCAATTCGACCCGGCAGCACAAGCTTGAGTCCTTGACCGATTCCCGTGATGGAAAATCGGCGAACCGAGAAATTCGAGAGCGTCCGACGATCCGTTCGCCAAGCAACAACCAAAGAACCTCCGGCCGAGGCAGAACCCAGAAGCGGCGGCAGCTCCCGTACGCCCAGCTGGGCTCAGAGGAAGCGAGCGCCAAGCCCAGGCCCAGCAACCGTGTACCCAGCCGGCCGGGGTGACCGACGCAACAAAAGCACAGGGACACGTCGCGCGCTGCGGGGGCCCTGTGCTTCCCGCACCCATTTCGCCCATTCATCCCTGTCTAAAAACAAGAGCACAGGTAGGTTCCTGATCGATACAGTCGGAGATGCAAGTGCAAACATGAGACCTGAGAGTTGAGAGTACTATGGGATGGGACATGCATGCGTAACGACGACCCAGGCCGGCCGTTCCATATCGTCGTCACGCATGGGGCCCGGGTATTAATGGTCCGCACACCATGCGTGTTCAATTACTCATGATCATCTACGGCATGCATACGTGGATCTCACATCTCAGCCTGCAGTGCCGCATGAGACCGCATATCATAGAGTACACAGGACGGGCCGACTTAATATCCCCGGCGGTCAGCACGCACGGGGTCGCTCGTGGTTGCTAGTCCCTCTCGCCCCGTTTATTATTCGCGCTACACTACACTACACTACACTACACAAAGAATGGGCTATAATAATATATATGGGGGGTGACAACGATTTTTTCTGTGTGCTAGAAAATAAGCTTTGATTTACAACATCGTACGACCTTCCTCTCTCGTTACTAGTACCAATCAATCGATTCGATACCTCAGGGTTTGTTTGGATTCACCTTTAGCTAGGGGTATTTAGATGCACCTTCCGATTGAAGACTTTGTACCATGCTACTCCATTAGCTGGTTTTAGCCGGTTGCAGATAGCTAATGACATTGTGTATATTTTAAACTCCAACTAAAGTTTAGTTGACTTTAGCTATGGGTTGTTTGGATGCACCACGACAGCTAAAATTTAGCTGGTACATCCAAATAAGACCTTAGCTGAGACACAAAACTATAAAACACACCACACACATGCGCGCATTAGAACAACCCAATCAAAACTTATTCACAAGTCTATATATGAATGACACCTGGTCTGTCCATCAACATAGTTTAGAACTAGCAGGTAAACCCGCGCGAACAGTGAAGTTGGGGGGAAAAAAGAAGGCTTGGTACTGTTCCTTATCGGGTTGGGTACTGTTCATCACGGATTCGTTACTGTTTCCCTACAGTGAACTGAGTCTGGGGACGCGTCGCGACGTGACGCCCCTCAAATTTATAGTCTTTTATAGATGAGAAATAAAAACACCTCAATTATAGATTTTGACCATTGGTACGGTTCTTCATTGTATATTGTCAACTGCTACAATCAACATCATATATATTAAATTAAATACTCGTTTAGGTGTGAATCAATTGAGATGCAACCATCTGCACATCGAATATGTACATGATTTGATTAGTTTTTATCAATTTTTGTAAAGTTCAACTTTTCGAAAGCAAAATATACTTAGCATTGATGGTTGGAGAGAGTACATCACGAGAAAAATACGATTTAAAGCGTGCGGTCAAACGTTAAGCTAGCTATAAGGTTAGGTTACTTACAAAGAGGAAATAGGAATTTGCTACTGATAATTATGCACGAAATCAGAAGAGAAGATACTTTTTCGTTTTCAATTTTATCCAACAAAATTACAAGGACAACAAGCCATCACGACAGAGGCGGGCTCTTTGCACTCGGCAAAGGCAGCTTTGTACTCGGCAAAGCTTTTGCCGAGTGCAACACTCGGCAAAGAGCCTCCGTCGAATCACCTTCCGGTAAAGGCTGCTTTGCCGAGTGCCAAATTTCGGGCACTCGGCCGGGCACTCGGCAAAGATTTGACGCCGTCGGCCGACGGCCGACACCATCTATTTTTTTTTAAAAAAACTCTTTGCCGAGTGCCACAGCTCCGCCACTCGGCAAAGAAATCTGTTTTTTTAAACCTCTTTGCCGAGTGCCACAGCACCGGCACTCGACAAAGGGTGTTTTTTTTTAAAATTTTCTTTGCCGAGTGCAATGGTCATTGCACTCGGCAAAGCCACCTCTAAATTTCTTTTTTTTGTTTTTTGCTTTTTCATTTAAATAACAATGCATATATATATAATAGAAACCACAATTCAACAGCAATAAATTACAAACCACATTTATATATTACAAACGACCAAATTTGTTCGAAATCCATAATTTATTTCAAACCACAAGTTCATAGTCCACAAGTTCACAAGTTCGATACATAGAAACTACTCCGCAAGCGGCTCACGGCGACTGCGCCCCAGCATGCGATCCCAGCGACGGTCTGGGTGCGGATGGCCCGACTTGCGATGCCGGCGACCCTCCGACCTGGTTCGACGCCACCCCCGATGTCCGCTGCACAAAAAAGAAGATATTGCACGTGAGTGACAAGATAAAAATGTAAGGAGTTTAAAGAAAAGTTGAAAATTTCGGTAGCACCTTCCCTGCACGGGGACGTTTCCAAAACCTGCAAGAAAAATGTCGGCACGAAGGCCGACAACCATATTTCCGGCACGAAGGCCGACACATCAACTAACCCGGCACGAAGGCCCACACATCAACAAATCCGACACGAAGGTCATCTCTAGGTTTGACACTAAGCATGAGCACAGAAAGTAAAACATACTCACCGGAGAAGACTGTGGTGGTGGCTGTGGTGCAAGCAGGTGTAGTGGGATCTGCCAACCTTGTTGCTCCCCAAGTTGTTGCACGAACCTGAGCAAACCTTCTTGCTGGGCCTCAACAGCTTGTAGCCTCTGACGCTCGGCCTCCCGCTCGGCCCACTCAGCTGCCCGCTCAGCTTCCTGGGCCTCCTGCTGGTCCTGAAGTTGCTGTAGCTCGACCTATAACATTTGACCCCAATGTTTCAATATTGCAGAGCTAAGGAACGTAAAAGTCAAAGAACGACGAATGA